TATTATTGGTATAGATCCTATGTGTTTGGGCCTTTTCCCCCCTGTTTCTGATAGTAAAGTGCATATTCCTAATAAAAAAAACTGTGGATAATAAAAGCTGAAAGGCTTTTAAAGCAAAAGAGACCACCACACAACAGGAGACCCTGTAACAGGGCAGATGAGAGGCACTCATCTCTTTGAGAACTAGCCAATGCTCTCGAATGTCATTACTGGAACACTTTTACTCTTCTAAGCAATTCCTTGAGTCAGATGAGGACCCATCGAAAGCAGACATTCTATAGCTATCACAAACGTGCTGAAGAATTGAAAGGCGTAATCCATAAATTAGAGGTATTGCATCAAAATGTGAATATTATTCTTCTATGGAAAGCTTACTATGATCATATATTGGTTAATTATGTGGATTTTGTGATCAAAGAAAACATGATAATTTCAAAAGAAACATCAAAAGTGCTTTATTCAAAGTAATGTCCATTGCTAGCTACACATTTCCCCATCTTTCAGGTAATTTGTGAGTACCATCCCAATAGAACGTTTCTTGTTTAAGGCAAACCATGCAGAGACCCAATTTTCCACTTTTTCGTGTGTTTTGAAGGGCTGCACAGAAAGTGAGTGTGCCATCAATGGGAACAAGTGGTAATGTGAAGAAGCATGGTCTGGTGAATACAGCAAGTGAGTTAATACTTCCCACGAAGATATTTTTACATCTCTTTGACTGGTTTTGAAGTGTGTGATGGTGCATTTACATGAAGCATAATTATTTTGCCATATCTTCTATTGTACTTTGGTCGTTTCACAATCAAAGCATGTGTCAAAAACCTGGATTTAGAATCTCATAATTCTCCACACCTTCCTGATCCCACCAAAGGCAGATCACTTTCTTCTTTCGAAAGCAAGTTGGCCTTGTAGTCGATGTTGAAGGTTGCCCTCGATGAACCCATGATTTTGTGCATTTGTGATTCTCAAAATAAATCCACTTGTCATCACCCACCAGTCACAATTTGATGCAAAAAAGACTTTCTTTAGTGCAGTTGTAGCAACATTTTGCTGATACTTTTCAGGTTTCCATTTGTCTTTCTTTCATTGCAACACTGATGGGATTTTCATGTAAAAGGGAACTAGATATTTTGAATGAAAACTGAGAGAATCAACTTATTTCCTTTTGGCTTAGTCTGTGGAGTAACTATCTTTTCTTTGCTTTCTTTCTTTTTTTTTCTTTTAATATACTATTGATTTTTTACAGAGAGGAAGGAAAAGGGATAGAGATTCAGAAACATCGACAGAAGAGAAACATCGATCAGTTGCCTCCTGCACACACCCCTAATGGGGATGTGCCCGCAACCACGGTACATGCCCTTGACCGGAATCGAACCTGGGACCTTTCAGACCACAGGCCTACGCTGTATCCACCAAGCAAAACCAGCTTGGGCTGGATCAACTGTCTTTGACTTGCCTTTGAAATCCAAGGAACTATGTTGAAAAACATGAATGAAGCAGACTAGAATCCAACCCAGCCTGGAGGATTTCACTTCCTGATTCCTTTCCCTTTCTAAATCTTCTCTGTATTTGGTTCCTTGGGACCTAGAAACCCCATTTATGCTAACTGCAGTAGTTTTCTGTTACTTTCTACTGAAGAGTTAGAAAAACGGAGACTTTTGGAATCATGTACAGCATTTTCTCTTTGTTTAAAATAATGGAAAAGAATTGCTGCCATGTTAATATATAGACTGAGCTCTCAAGCATTAACATTTTAGGCCCTCCCTTCTCTCGAGTCCACAAACTTATTCTTCAATGCAATGGTATTTGAACCATTAATTTTTTTAAAAAATATTCCTTGAATAATGTGCTATTTTGGGCTTTGTTAAAAAAAACTTTGAAGAATTTTTTGAATACCCGCTGACTAAAAATTATATCACATAAATATAGCCTTTTTTATATAAAATATGAGAATATAAGGCAAGATATACACATATAAAATAGAATATTTCACCTTCATGGCCAGTGAACAACTCTAGTCCTCATTTGATTGTAATAATTGGGTTATTTCATAGATTATTCCATGTAAGTAAAACCTTCCAACTAATTGAAGCATACAACTAAGTGGCCATTTTAAAAGGTTTGTACTTTGAAAGAATATTGTCTTAAATTTATTATGTACCACCTCTCTTTCTTTGAAAAATTATCTATTCTCATAATAAAGGCAATACATTCGCTGAAGAACAACTGTAAAATAAAAATAAATATTAAGAAGAAAGTTAAAATCATATAGATCAATGGAACAGTATAGAGAACCCAGATATCAACCCAAGTCATTATGGTCAATTAATATTTGACAAAGGAGGCACAAATATACAATGGAATCAAGACAGTCTCTTCAATAAATGGTGTTGGGAAAATTGGACAGATACATGCAAAAGAATGAAACTAGATCACCAACTTACACCATACACAAAAATAAACTCCAAATGGATACAGGACTTAAACATAAGACGGGAAACCATAAAAATACTAGACGCATCCAAAGGAAGCAAAATCTCAGAAATATGCCAAAAGAACTTCTTCACTGATACTGCCCCTAGGGCAATGGAAGCTAAAGAGAAAATAAACAAAAGGGATTACATCAAAATAAAAAGCTTCTGTAAAGCAAAAGAAACCATCAACAAAACAACAAGAAAGTCCACTGTATGGGAGAACATTTTTGCAAATGTTATCACTGATAAATGTTTAATCTCCAACATCTATAGACAGCTTATACAACTAAATAAAAGGAAAAGGAATGATCCAATTAAAAAATGGGCAATGTATGGACCTAAATAGAATATTTTCAAAAGACAGAAGGAAGGCCAAGTGGCATATGAAAACATGCTCAAAGTCACCAATTATCTGAGAGATGCAAATCAAAACAACAATGTGGTACCATCTCACACCTGTCAGAATGGCCAACATCAACAAATCAACAAACGAGAAGTGTTAGCGAGGATGGGGAGAAAAAGGAACCCTTGTGCACTGCTGGTGGGAATGCAGACTGGTGCAACCACTGTGGAGAACAGTATGGAGTTTCCTCAAAAAACTGAAAATGGAACTCCCATTTGAGCCAGTAATACCACTCCTAGGATTATATTCAAAGAAACTAGAAACATCAATCAGAAAGGATATATGCACCCCTATATTCATAACATAACAACCAACAATAGCTAGGATTTGGAAACAGCCTAGGTGCCCCTCAGCAGATGATTGAATAAAAAAACCATGGTATATCTGCACAATGGAATACTATGCTGCCATAAAAAAAGAAGTAATTCTCATCATTTGTAGCAACCTAAGATGGAATTGCAGAACATCATGGTGAGTGAAATAAGCCAGTCAATGAAAGAGAAATACCACATGACCTCACTGATTTATGGATAATAAAGAACATTATAAACTGATGAACCAAAAGATAGATACAGAGACAGTAAAGCAACTAGCAGGCTGTCAAATAAAAGAGGGGTGGGGAGGGAGATTTGAGGGAGATAAGAGATCATCAGAAGGTCTTGTATATATGCATATAAGTACAACCAATGGTCACAACTCTGGGGATAGTGGGTATGTATGGGACTGGGGGTCAATGGTAAAATATGTACACAGATAATAATTTAATAAAAAAATAAAATAAAAAAATAAAAATAAAAAAATAATAAAGTTAAAATCACCTATAATTTTAATTCCAATAGCAAACACCTTTAATGCAGTTAAGGACATGGTTTTTATGTATAACACTAGAGGCTCGATGTATGAAAATTCATGCACTGTAGTGGGGGTCCCTAAGCCAGTTTTCCACCCTCTCACAGTCCATAGCTCTCAAGGTTCTGAGTTTTTTCATTCTTTTTTCTTTTTTTAAAAATATATATATTTTTAATTTCAAAGAGGAAAAAAGAAGAAGAGAGTCACAGAAACCACAATGATGAGAGAGAATCATTGATGGCTGCCTCCTGCATGCTCCCTACAGGGTTTTGCTTGCAACCCAGGCATATGCCCTTTGACCAGAATGGAACCCAGGGCCCTTCAATCCACAAGCTGATGCTCTCTCCTCTGAGACAAATCAGCTAGGGCAAGGTTCTGGGTTTTCAAAAAAATCATTTATACTTTTCAAAACCGAAGACATTTTATGTAGCCGTCTGGTGTCAGAGAGAGTGTGAGGTGTACATGTTGACATCAGAGGTGTATATTTTGTTGAGTATCACTATGTGCCTGGCATTCTGCTAAACAGTTTACATGAATTATCTCACTGAATTACCATAAAATTCTTCTGAATCCCAGGTTTGTGGTAAACCTCAAATTCAGATACATACTATCTGGATTATAAAAATATCTCTCTTTACCACTTACCTGTTATCTACTCATATATATGTATATACACATATACATATATACTTATATACATATACATAACAGTGGCCTGGTGCACAAAATTTGTGCATGGGGCTGATGTGCCTCAACCCAGCTTACACTCTCTCTAATATGGGATCCTTCAGGGACAGTCGGACATCCATATCCCAAGCTGGTACTGCTGGCTTCTATCTGTTCACCTGCCTGCCTGCCTGATTGCCCCTAACCACTCTGCCTGCTGGCCTGCTCTCCATCAATTGCCCACCCTGCTTGCCTTCTTGCCCCCAACTGCCCTCCCTTGCTGGCCTGATCGCCCCTAATTGTCCCCAGCAGCCTTCTCACCCCTAAATTTCCCCTTCAGCTGACCTGATAACTTCCCAAACATCCCCATTGTCTGCCTGCTCACCCCTAATTGTCCCTCTCCCCCCCTCCCGCTGGCCTGTTCTCCCCCAACTGCCCACCCAATTGGACTATGCCCATTCACAGAATCATGAACTGTGCTTCTAGTATTCATATATATACATACTTAGTGTATATACACATATATCACAAGAATATATTGGATTTCCCATTTAGTTTTCTTTATTAATATCAAGATAAGTTGATAAATACTTATTTTATTGTATTCATTATTTATTATATTTGCAAAATTTTTACAAAAGTAAAAAAAATAAATATTTTGTCGGGTCTGAGTTTGACAAGTCACACACATAAATATATAAATATATAAATACTGGTTGGGTGACAATAAATTAAAAACTGGAGCATGCATAAATAAAATCCATGATGAGGGCATAGGTGGCTGCCAGGTCTCAAGGTCAGGCACACAGGTCTCCTGCAGCGACACATTTCAGGTCCTGGGTGAGGAGGCGGAAGAGGTTGGATGTGACAAAGGCTTCAAGGCAGTCCTGGGATTCCTTCTGCTCTGCCTCCCGCAGGCGATGCAGCCACTGGTGGAGGTGGCCCCGGGCCCTGGGGCCTGCTGGGGCCTGAGCTGGGACACAGGCCTGAAGCTGGGAGTGGATGTACTGCAGCGTGTGGAGGGGCTGGTCCAGGATGTCTCCCAGGGTAGAGTTCGTCACTGTCCCCAGGACCTTCAGTGTCAGGGCCAGCTCAGCCTCCAAGGCCACAGGGCGCTCCCACACCTGCAGCTGCCTCAGGTCCCGGGACCTGAGGAGTGAGCGGGAGCTGCAGTGCCAGTTCTTGAGCTGGAGGGACTCTTCCAGGGCGTCCTTGGCCCTCTTGAAGGCCTTCATCTCTTGCGGGGACAGAGACTTGAACTGGTCCATGTGGCAGCCCCTGGCACCCAGGTGGTTCCTGGGGGGCGGAGGGGCAGGAACTGCTCCTGTCCTGCTCAGCACCGCGGCCATCAGCATCAGCACCAGCGTGCACCACACAGCCCAGTCAGGCTTCATCCTGGTCTCTGGCCTCTGCTCTCTGGTCTCTGTCAGCAGATGGGCATCCACGTGTCCATGCAGAGGTTGTCACCTGGTGTCACCAGCCTTGTTTGGTGTCTCTGGTCTCAGTCTCTTCTTCTGTGTCTCAGCCTGCTGTTCTGTCTGTATGTCTGAACTTGCAGCTCTGCTGACATGGAATGCCACACTGGGCTCCATGGTGCAGCTTTTAGCTTGGCCAGAGGGGCAATCCCAGCTGATGTAGGAAAAGTGAAAATGCACCTGCCACTAGGGGAGGCCCCAGATTGGGAAAGGCCAGCCTTTGCAGGGCGGGGCCTGGAGCCAGTTGAGCAGCTAAAGCTAAAGAGAAACTGATACAGACTCTGATTCACCTTCAGTAGGTGAGGTCATAAGAGAAAGATTCCTCTTATGGAATCTTATGCATTCTTTCCTTCCTTCCTTCCTTCCTTCCTTCCTTCCTTCCTTCCTTCCTTCCTTCCTTCCTTCCTTCCATTCTTTTATCTTTCTTTCTTTTCTTTAAATTGATTTCAGAGAGGAAGGGAGCGGAGAGAAACATCAATGATGAGAGAGAATCATTGGCTGCCTCTTGCATGCCCCCTACTTGGGATTGGGCCCACAACCTGGGCATAAGTGCTTGACCAGGATTGAACCTGAGACCCTTCAGTCCACAGGCAGAGGCTAGGACAGAGCCTTTTTTATTAAAAAAAAAAATTCTTTGTTATTTTAAAAAAATCTTTATTGTTTAGAATATTATTGATAGTCCCCTTTCCTCCTCCCTCTCCCATTACCCTCTCTCTACCCAGTTCCCACCCAGACTTTCACTATCTATTGTCTGTGTCCATAAGTAATATATATTTGCATATAAGATCTTTGGTAAACCTATTCCTATACTCCACACTCCATCCTTCTGAGATTCCTCAATCTGTTACATATTTCTATGTCTTTTATTCTATTTTATTCATTAGATTTCTTATTCATTTACTTTGCTTTTTAGATTCAATTATTGATACATATGTATTTATTGCCATTTTATTGTTCATACTTTTGGTTTTCTTCTTCCTCTTCTTAAAGAATACCTTTCAGCTGAAACCGGTTTAGCTCAGTGGATAGAACTTCAGCCTGTGGACTGAAAGGTCCCAGGTTTGATTCCAGTCAAGGGCATGTACCTTGGTTGTGGGCACATCCCCAATAGGGGTGTGCAAGAGGCAGCTGATTGATGTTTCTCCCTCATCGATGTTTCTAACTCTCTATCCCTCTCTCTTCCTCTCCGTAAAAAATCAATTATATATATAGTTTAAAAAAGAAAACCTTTCAACATTTAATGTAATACTGGTTTCATCGTAATGAACTCCTTTAGCCTTCTCTTGTCTGGGAAGCTGTTTTTCTGACCTACAATTCTAAATGATACCTTTGCTGAGTGGAGTAATCTTGATTACTATTCATTACCTTGCTATTCATTACCTTGAATATTTCTTGCCATTCCCTTGTGGCTTGCATAGTTTCCATTAATAAATCAGCCGACAGTTGTATGGGTGTTCCCTTGTATCAGTAGATAACTGCTTTTAAGATTCTCTTTGTTTTTCACACTTAACATTTTATTTTATTTTATTTATTTTTTTAAATATATATTTTATTGATTTTTCACAGAGAGGAAGCGAGAGGGATAGTTAGAAAACATTGATGAGATAGAATCATGGACCAGCTGCCTCCTGCACAACCCCTACTGGGGATGTGCCCACAACCAATATACATGCCCTTGACCGGAATCGAACCTGGGACCTCTCAGTCCTCAGACCAATGCTCTATTCACTGAGCCAAACCGATTTTGGCACACTCAGCATTTTAATTATGATGTGTCTTGGTGTGGTCCTCTTTAGGTTCCTTTTATTTGGGAGTCTCTGCATTCCCTGGACTTGTAAAACTATTTCTTCCACCAAGTATGGGTAATTTCTGTAATTATTTCTTCAAATAGGTTTTCAATATCTTGCCCTCTCTCTTCTTCTTCTGGAACACCCATAATGTGAATGTGGTATGCTTGAAGTTATCCTAAAGGCTTTTTACAGAAGCTCATATTTTTGGAATCATTTTTTTCTCTTCTAATTGGATTTTTTTTTTTTTTTTTTGCTTCCAAATCATTGATTTGATTCTTGGGATGCTCTACTCTGCTGTTGAATCAGTGTAAGTTATTCTTTATTTCAGTTAGTGTATGCTTAATTTTTGACTGGTCCTTTTTCATGTCTTTAAAAATTATCATTAAGATCCTTGAAAGTTTTACAAAGTCCCTTGAAACTTTCATTAAGATCCTTGAGCAACATTATAATCGTTGTTATTATTTTTGTTTGCTTGATTCCATTTCATTTATTTCTGACATGTTTCTTTGTCTCTGCATTTTGGCTGCTTCTCTGTGTTTGTTTCTATGTATTAGGTAGAAGTGCTATGTTTCCTTGAATTTGTAGAGTGGCCTTGTGTAGTAGGTGTCCTGTAGGGCCCAGTGGCTCAGCCTCCCCAGTCACTTGATCTGGGAAGTCTATGTATACCACTGTGTGGTTTATGTGCACAGTCTTGTAGTTGAGCCTTGATTGCTATTGACATAACTTTCAGGCCAATTGGCTGTAAGACCCAGCTTTAACTACAGTGGGAGAGCTGCTGTGCAGGAGATACCCATATGGAGCAGAACTTGCTTCAGTGGGGCTTTATTTCTCACTGAGTTTGTCCCTTGAGTGTGTCACTTATGGATGTGTAGAGTTATAATCTATTATGGTTTGAAGCTGTCCTCCAGGTGCACTGTATCTGGGGCTGTTGGGAGGTGCAAAGTCAGTTATTGCCTGGGGCTGCCTGGCAGGAGCTACAGAGAGATATCTGAAGATGAATGTTATTTATATTGGGCTTGGAACTGCTCAAGCGAGGACCAACTGTGAGGAAAGCCAGGCTGGTGCTGAGTCTTGGGCTTCTCATTGATAGGTTTGGAGTATGATGAAGCCAGTTTCTACTTTTTTGAGATACTTTGGGAAAGTCTGAAGCCTGAGCCAGAGCAGGCCATTCAGGCCGAACAGCTGGGCCAGGGCTGCAAATAGAGTGGGGCAGAGTCTCAGGGAATCACCAGGGTGGAGCAAACAATGTGGGCCAGGCTGATGGAAATTCAGATATGGTTGCTAGTCAGCTCTGTGATGGGGAGGTCCCAGCACAGGAACAATGACCCATGTGAGCATCTCCATCTGGAAGAAAGCCACCCCCGAGTTCCAGCCCTGACACATGACAATCCAGATCCTCCCATATGTCCCTGGATACACAAAAGCCACCATCTGGTGGTATATCTCAGAGGAAGTGGGACCACATAAGTTTTTGCACTAGCCTTTTAAGGGGAACTTCCTAGGACTCCAGCAACCCCTGTGTTACTCAACCACAATCCCCATTGATTTTTATAGCCCTGAGTTATGGGGACTTCTCTTCCCAGCTCTGGAACCCTGGGCTGAGGGTCTAGTGTGGGGCTGGGACCCCTTGCTTCTCAGGGGAGGTCTCTGCAGTGGAGATAACCCTCCAGATTTAAAAAGATGCTACACATGGGTGTTGGATCAGCCTGTTCCATATCTCTACCCATCCTACGAGTCTTGATGTACTTTCTTCTTTACTTATCTAGTTATAGGCCATCCAATGAGCCAAATTTTGGGTGGTTCTTTATGATAGTTTTTATGTATTTTAGTTGTAAATTTAATGTGGTTGTGAGAGGTGTATAGTATCAGTGTTTATTTCTGATACTATAGGCTCAGCGCATGAAGTTCATGCACAGGAAGAGTCCCTAGGCTTGGCTGGAAATCGGGGCCAACAGGGCCTTCCAGCTAGGGCCTTCTTTCCACAGCTGCCCCCTTCCTTTGTTCCGCGTCACCCACCCTGGTAGTCAGTGCATGTCATAGCAAGTGATGAAGCTCCTGGTCTCCCAGTCGAACTGCAGAGGGAACACTTTGCACATTAGCCTTTTGTATATATATAGATAGTCTTAATATATGAATCATTCCTCATAGCAAGTATGTGGATACAATATGATTTTTTAAATCCTGGTATTGCATAGCTAAACGATATGTGTTTTTTAGCTGTTATAAAAATGAATTTTTTCCCTCTTTATTTATTTTATATCATCATTTACCTCCCCCCATCCCTCTTCCACCTGCATCCAACCCCACAATAACCACACTATTGTGATTCAGTGAGCACATTTTATTGCCAGACTACATAAGTCTTAGATTTCTGACTCACTCTTCATATGATTTGGGACAACTTTCTTAGCTTTTATTAAACTGTTTTTTTATCTTTAAAATAAGGAAAAAGAATAATTTTATGATAGAATTGTTAGATACTATTCATAAGATGCTAACTTGATCTGTGCTGATTCAAGAAATAATTCTCCTTTTTCTTACTAAATAATTATAAACATCTTATTTCTATCACATTTTTATATTAGCCTTCATGCAAATTTTAGATTATTCTGAAATTTAGAAAATTCTGAAAAGTGGAAGTTCTCAGTATAGAATCTTTATTTCCAAAACTAGAGGCCGATGTATAAAATTCATGCATGGTTGGGGAAAAGGAAGGAGTGCACCTCAGCCCAGCCTGCACCTTCTTCAATCTGGGACCCCTCGGTGGGATTGGGCCTAAAGGGGCAGTCAGAATTCCCTCTCATAATTCAGGACAACTGACTCCCAAACGTTCACCTGATTGACCCTAAACATTTCTGCCTGCCAGCCTGATCAACCCCTAACCACTCCCCTGCCAGCCTGATCAATGCCAAACTTCTCCCCTGCCAGCCAGATTACCCCTAACAGCCCTCCCATGCCAGCCTGGTCACCCCTAACTACCCTCTCTTGCCAGCCTGATCACCCACAAGTGCCCTCCTCTACTGGCCCAGTAACCCCCAACTTCCTCCCCGGCAGGCCTGTCCCCCCCCCCAACTGTCCTCCCCTACAGGCCTGGGTCTCTCCCAACTTCCCTCCCCTGATGACCATCTTGTGGTGGCCATCTTGTGTCCTCATGGGAGCAGC